CAGCTACTAGTACTATAAGACTAGCTGCGCACGCATATTCTCAACAGCAAAGTAATAACAGAGGAAAAATAGCATGTGAAATCCACTTAAGTGTAATCGTTACTGGCTAAAGTTTACACGTGCGAACTGATCATGCCCCGCCACTGCTGGCAGAACCCATTGGTGGCAGAACCCACTGGTGGCAGAACCCACTGGTGCAGAACCCACTGATGGCAGAAACCATTGGTGGCAAAACTTTCCGCATGTCTTAGGTAACTGTGAACCACTGGTCTATGAGACTGAATCTAGTACCAGATGTGCGATCGTCAACTGCGTAAACTGAAGCCGTCTCATGATTAACCTGACTCATAAGGACGAAACCTGGTCGTAGCCTGGTGTATCTTCAGAAGCGTCAACACTAACCCCCCAAAATATTTGTGCTGGGGGATGCATTGCCATCTTCTAATGTTATAAGGAAGCTGGGAGTGGGAAGGGGGGGGGGGGGGTAGGGCGAATCTGAAGACATAAAACCCTGTTTAATTGTGCAGTAATGATGATGCTGATGATAATAATAATATTATTTAAAATAATAATAATAAAAAATAATAATAAAAATAATAATAATAATAACCGTTATTATCGTTTCCTTCTCCTCCTCTTTCTTCTTCTTCTTCTTCTTCTTCTTCTTCTTCTTCTTCTTCTTCTTCTTCTTCTTCTTCTTCTTCTTCTTCTTCTTCTTCTTCTTCTTCTTCTTCTTCTTCTTCTTCTTCTTCTTCTTCTTCTTCTTCTTCTTCTTCATTTTCATTACCATCATTTTTTTAGCAGTCACCAGGTGTCAAGTCCAGAGAAGAGTTTTAGTCGTGTTCTGGAATCTGAGCTTTAAGTGCACATTCGTTTGACAAATCTAGTTTATTTGTATGCAGACTGTTGAGTCCCTGCCTCTCATACAGGTGCACTGCTAATTAGTCGCATTTTACAACATGCGTGTTTGGGGGTAGTAGGTCTAACCCCCCCCCCCCTCTCACCCTCACCCTCACCCTCACTCTCACCCAGATAGAAACCGGAAACTCATACAGGGATTTATTAATATTATTATTATTATTATCATTATTATTATTATTATTATTATTATTATTATTATTATTATTATTATTATTATGGGCTAAAGGTCAGATACCAAGAATATTTGTGAAATAATATGAAATGTAGAAACAAATGCTTAAAAAGAGAACCTATATACATCGGTGGGTGTTGTGGGTGGGAGAGGCGGGGGGGGAGGGGGGGGGGGAGGGGGGGGGGAAGGGGGAAATGGTTCTTCTTCTAATTTTTCTTTGACTTTTTGAAGGCTTTGTTGCCTTCCCTCCCCTTATAATTTTTTTCTCCCCCATTTGCTGCGGGAAGGATGGGGGGGGGGGGGACGCTTATAGCGCCAGAGCACTAGGCTCTGGCGGCTGTCTATCCCAGGCCATTCTGAGCGGGGCGGGCTTTATGTAGCAAATTATGACCCGTATCCTTGTTCGTTACACTCGAGATAGTAGACAAGAGCTAGTTACGCCGACATAGAAATAAACAGCCCATAGTCAGTAACTAACTGATTCCTTCGCTGTCATGCCCCCCTAGCTGCGACAATATGCTCCTGACAGGTAGAACATTTCGCGAACAAACTGTTATTCTTCCCGGTTATTCCCCTGCTGATCTGTCAGACATTTGCCAGCAGGGTGCCTAGTTAGACCTACACTGGTTGAGTAGTCCCCCCTGACTGCAGCAGCTATTGTCCCCGTGTCAACAGTGTGGGAGCCTTGGTAACTCACATTGTCACAGCTTCTGTACACTTGTCAACAGTTATGTCGTTCGCCGCCTGTGTCTTTGCTCTAGCAGTCAAATTACCTCTGTGGATGAATTCATCGACTGTAGGTTTGATTGCAGGAGCATGTGTCGATCCTTCAACAAAAGCCTCCCACAAGGCAATGGTAGTAATAGTCACAATCCAGTCATCTCCTTGTGAGATACAATTTTTCGTTGTTTGAAGCCCTACTCTGGCGCTTGCCAGGGGCCGCAATATAGCCCGACCATGAATATGGTCTAATGGCTGAACGCGGTTTCTGGGACCTCTCCACGGTGATCCTCATCCACATAGTGGCACTTTGTGTCATCGGGTGTTTATCGCTTGTGTGATGTCCTTAGTGGGGTAAAAATCTTTTACTAATGGTAGCAACACAATCTTTTGTGATTGTAGTTTGGACACTTTGGAACAAGAAATTGAACGTTTATAATGTGAAACTTTAGGTATAGTTTACTTTGTGGTTGTGAGGTGATTGTATACTTTATCAAGAGCCTTGTGGAGCAAATGTATAGTTTATGCTGTAGTTCTTGGGGTAAGGTATAGTTTAGGTTGTTGTTTGTTAGAGCGCTTTGGTTGCAGTTTATTTGTTAAATCCTATGTCTTCTTCTTCTTCTTCTTCTTCTTCTTCTTTTTCTTCACTTCCTCTTTTACGGCTGTGGGTGTCGAGGGAGATATAAGGTTCTGTTTCTAGCTCTTCTGGCTGCCTCGACCATAGGCACATTGTGCTGTTGTAGAGTTTCTCTGATGTTATCCTTCCATCTTGTTCTTGGTCTACCCCGTGCTCTACGTTCTTTTTCTCTTTCCATGTATGCTTTGTATGGTATGGTGTCACAAGGCATTCTGTCTAAGTGGGCAAACCATTTCACTTGCTATCTTTGTATGTAATCCAGAATTGGTTCTGTGCCGACTTGTTCTCTTATGATCTCATTCCTGATCTTATCTCTTATGGTCATTCCTACAGCCCTTCTCAGACATCTCATTTTCGTGGTTACTAATTTTCTTTTATGGTTTGTTGTGAGTGACCATGTCTGGCACTGGTAGCACAGTGTTGGAATAAATATGCTTTGAATAAGATGTCTTTTTGTGCTGATTGGGATTGTCTTATGCTGTAAGAGGGGAGCTAGCTGTCCCAATACTTGGTTTGCTTTACTGCATCTAATGTCAATTTCTTTATCCAATTTCCCACCTTCGGTAAATGTAGTTCCCAGATATTTAAACTCAGATGTCTGTTTAATGCCTTTGTATTCTATTGCTATGTTTAGAACTGTCTTCTTTTTTCCTATTGACATTACTTCTGTCTTTTCAGTGTTGATTCTCATATTATTTGTTTTACATTCTTCCTTCATGGATGTTAGATAATCTTATGTCACAAACCTAAATTGTCATCTAAAGTGACAATTGCTGCTTATCATCATCATCGTCAATTCTTTTTATGCCTAGTGGCACATGAGGCTTCAGAGAGGACTGTCCATGCTTTCCTGTCCTGTGCAATCTTCAGTGCAGTTTTCCATGTCAAAGGTGCCTCACTCAGGTCACTTTCCATCGTTCGTCTCCATGTTGTTTTTGGGAACCCCTTTTTTCTGTTCCCCTCTGGTGTCCATGTGAGAGCTGTTCTGGCAGGTATATTAGTATTTATTGCAGCTTAGAGCTTGGAACATCTTTTCAGCAATGCATTGATGGGATCATACATCCGCTAGAAAGATTAAGCAGATATTTTTTGCGGACCACCAAAACATATTCAACCACCTCGTCTTGAAAAATATTTATTTAGTGTTCATATTTTTGGTTCAGGCTCTAAAAAGCTGTTATACATTGCCAGTGCGTGTCCTAATTTGTTTATAGTGGTTTCATATATTCAACAACAGGTACACCGTAGCTAACTTTAACCATTGTGATGGCACATACAAAGAAGTATTCTTCCTTTTCTGCCCGTGCGCCCCGTCTCCCCAACCCCCCAGGATAAAGTGTTGAATTCAGTTTAATACTTTGTGCTTTCAGGGCATGCTTTCTCAGCGACTCAATGGATTTGCTGAAGAAGAACGAGAAGGGTTGCATACGAAGACAATGTGTGGAGTCCCTGAATAGATCTTGGCTGACAAAAATCTGTTTCATATTTGTTCCTTTCCATTTTGGAGTAAAGGGCAATGAACGAGCTGACAGCCTTGCAAGTGATGCTCACGTGGGAAACGGACGAGCAATGAGCAGGGCTGATATGCTGAATGCCCTCAGAGAAGCAGCCTGATTATTAGAATCGAGTAGGCATTGTGAATCTGCAAAATGACGAGTCTACATGAACCACCCAATAAAAGGGGTGAGGCCAGACAAGAGCGCGACACAGGGGCTCAGAGAAGAAAAGTAAACCAACACAGAATTAGTGTCATAAGCCACTACACGTGAGGGAGATACTGAAGAGAGGATGTTAGCACTTATGGACTGAATGGTTCGATGTGGGATGATGATAATCTGTCGACTAACTAACTAACTAACTAACTAACTAACTAACTAACTAACTAACTAACTAACTAACTAACTAACTAACTAACTAACTAACTAACTAACTAACTAACTAACTAACTAACTAACTAACTAACTAACTTACTAACTAACTAACTAACTAACTAACTAACTAACTAACTAACTAACTAACTAACTAACTAACTAACTAACTAAATAACTAACTAACTAACGAACTAACTAACTAACATTAAGCGTAATGGGGCAATCTGGTCGATACAGGATTTGCTGGCAGGAAAACTTGCTTGTTAATCACCTAGCTGTTTATTGGTGGCATCTTTATGGTCTTATACTAGCAGGAATTTTTATAACATGCTATCGATTGCAGGAATTTCTCATTATTGTGTGTGTGTTTTGTATTTCAGGGATTCATCTGTAGCTCGTAGGTGAAGTAAAGACGTGGTATAAGGAGACAGTTTTGCAATCATTGGCAAAACCCTTTGGTTGATGCACATGTTTCGCTCTCTGATCTGCTACCTTAAAGTTGGACTCCACCGGTTCTAGGTGTGTCGTAGCTCGGATGCCAACCTAATAAGGAAAACGTAGGTACTGGTTTCAACCGAATAGCAAGTGACACTAATTGCGGTACTTGTAACGACTACAACAAGAATTAACCTAGCGTATTCTGAACTCCCTTTTGCGCAAGGTCAACACTCTCACGAACATGCAAGACAGGATTATCTTCATCTGCGTTTTTCTTATGGTCTTACATTTTACTTGCGCCAACAACTCGAATATTATCTTTGAGGTCGACGAAGAACAACATCCCCCAGTTGTCCTGGGCAACATCGCCCTTAGAGCCGGAATTACCTCAATCCCAGACCTGGACTTCTCGCTTCTCACCAGAAAAGACCTCTTTGAAATCGACGAAAGCACCGGAGATTTCCGGGCAAAGGCTGTCCTTGACCGAGAGAACATCTGTGGACCAGTTCCGAGGTGCGTCATCCCTGCCTCTGTTGCCGTGTCTTCAGCCCCGGACTTCTTCCAGAGATACACGGTCAGTGTGGTCGTCCTGGACATCAACGACAAGAAGCCCGTCTTCAACACAGCATCGTTCCCAAGAAGCATCAGCGAGCGAGCCGACATCAACACTACAATCAAACTTCCGGTTGCAAATGATGGTGATTATGAACCGAAATTTAAAGTTCAAGGCTACCATTTACTTCCGGTTTCCCAGAAAACATTTGGACTGGTTGTCCATCGATTCAACAAATCTGATGGCTCTGCTGACTTTGATCTTCACCTGAAGCTTCTTCAAAAGATTGACAGAGAAGTTATTGGCTCGTACACGTTGACTTTGGTGGCGTCTGATGGAGGAGTCCCAGTCAACGAGGGGAGGCTACTTATTCTCCTAAGCGTGTTGGATGAGAACGACAACAGACCAGAATTCAAAGACCCCGCTTACAATGTGACGGTACAGGAGATCACTTCTGTTGGCGCAAGAATACTCAACGTGTCTGCCCATGACGCTGATGATGGCGAAAACGGGCGAGTTGGGTACGAGTTCGCCACAGATGTAGACAAGAAGGTCCTGCATTACTTTGAGATTGATCGTTCTTCTGGTACTCTGAAGTTACTAAGAAGTCTTGAAAGCGAAGGAGGGTCTACGTTTTCATTCAGGGTTAGATCGTTTGATCATGGAACGCCCACGATGTTCTCGGAGGTAACACTAACAATTTTCGTGGAGGACACGATCAACAACCCCCCGAGTATCAGTATCAGTCAGTGGAAGTCAAAGAATGATACTTCCATTGTGTCAGAGGATGTGTTGGTGGGAACTAAAGTTGCTCTTATTGACGTCCTCGACTCTGACTCGGGCAGCAACGGCGAGACGAGTTGCACAGCATCGAGTCAACACTTTATTTTAGAAGAATACAACAACGCAGGAGAGTACACAATCTCAGTGGCTAGAGATTTGGATAGGGAGAAAACCAACACGCATTTAATCATCATCATGTGTACCGACAGAGGAACACCGCCGCTGTCTAGCACAGCTCAACTGTTTGTTGCAGTTGAAGACGTGAACGACAATCGACCAACCTTCACAAAGAATTCCTACGAAATGACGGTTCTAGAAAACGAGGAGGTTGGAGTACTGGTTGGAAATGTCTTTGCAATGGACACTGACGAGGGTCAAAACGCCGTTGTCCGTTACGATCTAGAATCCGGAGTTATAGAATTTGAGATTAACGAATCTAACGGATTTATTTATACTTCAATGAAAGACCTTGACCGCGAGGTTCAAGACAGGTACGTTTTTAAAGTCTACGCAATTGACCAGGGGTCACAACCTTTGACATCTACGGCCACAGTCACGGTCAATATTGCAGATGTCAATGACGAATCTCCAAAGTTCGAGAACTCGACTTATATCTTCTTCATTTCCGAACATACAGGGAAGAATACGGTAATTGGTCAGTTGAAAGCTGTAGACCAGGATCTCGGACTTGGTGGCGAGGTAGAATACGTACTCATTCACTCCCCGGTCCATCCTGATCCACCGTTTTCTCTTTCTCAAAAGGATGGATCAATTAGAGTTACCCAGCCGCTGGATTACGAAAAAATCAGGCTGTATAACTTTGTTGTAACGGCTGTCGATTTCGGAACACCACCCAAAAACTCCTCAGTTGAGATTCATATTCATATTCAGGACGAGAACGATAACTCTCCTGTTATTGTTTTTCCCAGCAAAGATAACTTCAGTGTGACCCTTAACCTTCAGGTGTCACCAGGTCACGAGGTGATCAGGGTGAGAGCTCATGACCTAGATTCTGGTGAAAACGGGCGCTTGAGTTACTCCATCGGCGACTCTATCAGTTTGACCACCAAATTGTTTTGGATAAATGAAGATACAGGGGTTATCGCACTGGCTGATGATCTTACAGAGACAAATGTACGAAACTACAATGTTGTTATCAGCGTGCAAGATAACGGCACTCCTCAGAGGGTATCCCAAGCACTTCTACAGCTCGATATCATCGAACAGACCTCGCAAAGAAGTGCCAAACTTTCCTACACAATTATTGTCATAATTATCGTCTGCACTACATTTTTCATCGTCGCCATTATTATGGTCATCTTCTGTTCAGTTTGGTATTTGGATAACCGAAAAGTTTACTCAAATAAAAGCAACAACCTGACCTTTGAACCCATAAATCAACAAAAAGATAATATTCAAGAAGAAGTCGATAACGACGAATTTCAGCATAGTATTATCTCTGGTTTTCCCAGTCAAAAACAAAATGCTTCACTTCAAAGTCCAAGATGTGAAAATAAACTAAAAAACAGTAAGAAATCTGTTACATTTGACAAGGCAATTAGGAACTCAGATACCTCTATAGCCATTGAATCAGATGGCAGAGATTCAAACTCCTTCCATAACGGAGATACAACATGCCCTGCCAATACTAGCCAAGGATTACTATACAGCCCACACTTCCCTAGAACCTTCAAAACATTTGGATCATACAGCTTAAGTAACAGTCCTAACTGTCGTTTGGTTAATCCTTCTTGTACTAGTGATCGAACACACAATTTGTTGCCTTCAGTGTTCAGTAAAAATTATACACATGATAGTAGAGATGCAGCCTCCCTGGAAGGCGAGAGGGGTTCGAATTCAGACTTTTTAGAGCTTGGTGCTAGTATAAATATGAAGGGCACGAGTGGATGTAGGAAAGTAAACGCGGCAGATGAGATGGTTGACGTGGCCTTAGAGAGACACAACGCCCTCGTGAGGTCAATGAGAGATCATGAAAGAATAACTCTGAGCACAGGAAAAAAGGTAAGTCAGAGGGAAACAAATTGTTTCGAGGATTACTGTGTGTGTGAGTGTGTGCGTGAGTGAGGGTGAGGTAGGTAGGGGGTAGGTAATGGAATAATGTGCACAAACTTAAGAAACAAGACTCTCCCCCGCCCTCTTTCTCTCTCACACACACTGTCTCACACACACACATACAAACGCACGTCTACACACACAAATCCACACACGCGTGCACAAACACACCATAGCCGAATTAGGACTTAATGAGATCCTAGGCTATATAAAACCCTGAGGCCCGGTCATTTTAAATTACCCCAGCTAATCTCAGAAATCTTTAAAATATATCTGCCTTTTAAAATTATGGATGATGGAAATTTATCGTCGTTTAACTTTTGTTACACGAAATAATAAATAATGAGTTTTCAAGATCACATAAATTCTGTAATCCTATAAAAATCTGTTTGTTACAGCTCAAAACAGTCTCCCCACAGTCACAAGCACACACCTCAATCCTACACTGTTACATGCACACACATTAATCCTACACTGTCACATACACACACACCTCAATTCTACACTGTCATACACACATACCTAAATCCTACACTGTCACACTCACACACCTCAATCCTACACTGTCACACGCACACACCTAAATCCTACACTGTCACACACACACACCTACACTGTCACACACACACACACACAAAGACACACACACCTCAGTCATACACTGTTCCACACACACACACACACAGCTAAATCGTGCACTTTCACACGCACACACCTCAATCCTACACTGTTACATGCACACACCTAAATCCTACACTGTCACACATACACACAAACACACACACACACCTCAGTCCTACACTGTCACACACACACACACACACACACACACACCTAAATCCTACACTGTCACACATACACACAAACACACACACACCTCAGTCCTACACTGTCACACACACACACACAGCTAAATCCTACACTGTTACATGCACATACCTTAATCTTATACTGTTACACACACACGCCTAAGTCCCACACTGTCACACGCCTAAATCATGCACTCACACACACACACCTAAATCCCCACTGTCACACACACCTAAATCCCCACTGTCACACACACCTAAATCCCCACTGTCACACACACCTAAATCCCCACTGTCACACACACCTAAATCCCCACTGTCACACACCTAAATCATGCACTCACACACACACGCCCAAGTCCCACACTGTCACACACCTAAATCATGCACTCACACACCTAAATCCCACACTGTCACACACACCTAAATCCCCACTGTCACACACACCTAAATCATGCACTCACACACACACACCTAAGTCCCACACTGTCACACACCTAAATCCCACACTGTCACACACCTAAATCCCCAATGTCACACACACCTAAATCCCCACTGTCACACACACCTAAATCATGCACTCACATACACACGCCTAAGTCCCACACTGTCACACAACCTAAATCCTACACTGTCACACACACACCTAAGTCCTACACTGTCACACACCTTAATCCTGCACTGTCACACACACCTAAATCCTGCACTGTCACACACACACCTAAGTCCCACACTGTCACACACACACCTAAGTCCCACACGGTCTCACACACACACACACACACCTAAGTCCTACACTGTCACACACCTGTCCTACACTGTCACACACCTAAATCCCACACTGTCACACACACCTAAATCCTGCACTGTCACACACACCTAAATCCTGCACTGTCATATGCACATAAATCAAGCATGTCATATCAATCTTCGTCTTAAACATCCTCCCCTTCTTCTTACTTTCATTCGGCAGAAAGGAGGGCCTCGTTGTGGGATATAGACCCACTGCCTTTCCAACAAACATGTCTTTGGAAGTCGGACTACATCTGCCACAGAGGTAAGGAACCAAAAGTCTGCATATAAATAAGGCAGATAAGTGAAACCGATGTGCACGAAATACTTAGATTCTTGAACAAGACCAAAGTTCAACAATGGACGAACAACCGGTGAACACGGAAAAGATAATGAAGAAATATAGATGTTATTGACCAGATTGGGATACTCAGCAGACCCAGCTATAATGGACTATAGGTGACTTGGTTACCTATGTGTGCTGCCTCAGTATAACTGTGTTATATGGCTATATAGGTCTAACCCTATTGGCAAGGAAAAGGGCCCTTTACTTTCTTTACATACTTACCTGGCTATATATTTAAACAGTTTCCGGGATTTGAGCCTGTTTGATTCTCATCTATCAGATGTTAAACCCAAAGACTGCAAATCCTGGAATGGAAACAACATTAAAGCAATCAGAATTCAAATTTAGGTTAATCAACTCATTGTAAAGATGGCATACGAGTAATTGGATTCATAATTAACTCTAAGGCTAATTTCTGTTTTTAATGTCCACAGACTTCGGCCAGGTCAGGAGGTCACGATCTGGACATCTGTAGCAGCTCCTCGGTAGAAACCAGTGATAGTGGCCATGGAGGCAGTGAGGTGGACGTCTCCGTCAGCAAGGTAGGTGTCGATCGTCCAGTGTTGTGTGTCTGGGTTTTCCCCATCACTGTCAGTCAAGTGAAATATCATATTTGCACCAATGGTGTATCAGGTATCACAGGCGTCGGAACTCTGGGGGTGAGGACTCTTGAAGGCCCCACCCCCACCCCATTCACACCCACTAAAATCATTTTTGGGGCTTCCATCTTGTAATCGGACTAAGAGGTCCGCTTTTGACCACGTTTAGACATTTTATATTAAAGCATTTATTTACAAATTTTCTATGTCGAGTACCGTATTCTATTTATCATTTAGCACAATAATAATATAATAAAAACCAGCATCATAGATAGTAATAATAATAATAATATTACTAATAATAATATTAATCATAAAAATAATCACCATCATCATAAATAATATTAATATGCCAAATAACAAATATAGATAATGGTGTTTTGGAAATCATATGAAAGATATTCACGGAAACTTAACAAGAAGACTTCTTAACATCCTACCATGTTTACTTTCGGGTGGGGGTTCGAACACCTATAGCCCCCCAATATTATTTAGCAAGAAATTCATAAGTTGGTGAGAGAGTGATTTGAAAGGGGGTGGGGGTGAGCCCACGACGTTTCTTGGAAGTGTGAGTTAATACACCTTGTATATGAGGCAATGTGAGTTATTACACCATGTGTATGAGGTAATCTGAGTTAATACACCATGTGAATGAGGCAATGTGTTAATACACCATCTGTATCAGGAAATGTAAGTTAATTTACCATCTGTGTGAGGCTATGTGAGGTAATACACCATCTGTATGAGGCAATGTGAGGTTATACACCATCCGTAAGAGGCAATGTGAGGTTATACACCATCCGTAAGAGGCAATGTGAGGTTATACACCATCTGTATGATGCAATGTGAGGTTATACACCATCCGTAAGAGGCAATGTGAGGTTATACACCATCCGTAAGAGGCAATGTGAGGTTATACACCATCCGTAAGAGGCAATGTGAGGTTATACACCATCCGTAAGAGGCAATGTGAGGTTATACACCATCCGTAAGAGGCAATGTGAGGTTATACACCATCCTTGAGAGGCAATGTGAGGTTATACACCATCCGTAAGAGGCAATGTGAGGTAATACACCATCTGTATGAGGCAATGTGAGGTTATACACCATCTGTATGAGGCAATGTGAGGTTATACACCATCTGTATGAGGCAATGTGAGGTAATACACCATCTGTATGAGGCAATGTGAGGTAATACACCATCCGTATGAGGTAATGTGAGGTAATACACCATCTGTATGAGGCAATGTGAGGTAATACACAATCTGTATGAGGCAATGTGAGGTAATACACCATCTGTATGAGGTAATGTGAGGTAATACACCATCTGTATGAGGTAATGTGAGGTAATACACCATCTGTATGAGGTAATATGAGGTAATACACCATCTGTATGAGGTAATGTGAGGTAATACACCATCTGTATGAGGCAATGTGAGGTCAAACACCATCTGTATGGGGCAGTGTGAGGTAATACACCATCTGTATGAGGCAATGTGAGGTAATACACCATCTGTATGAGGCAATGTGAGGTAATACACCATCTGTATGAGGCAATGTGAGGTAATACACCATCTGTATGAGGCAATGTGAGGTAATACACCATCTGTATGGGGCAGTGTGAGGTAATACACCATCTGTATGAGGCAGTGTGAGGTAATACACCATCTGTATGAGGCAATGTGAGGTAATACACCATCTGTATGAGGCAATGTGAGGTAATACACCATCTGTATGAGGCAATGTGAGGTAATACACCATCTGTATGAGGTAATGTGAGGTAATACACTATCTGTATGAGGCAATGTGAGGTAATACACCATCTGTATGAGGTAATGTGAGGTAATACACCATCTGTATGAGGTAATGTGAGGTAATAGACCATCTGTATGAGGTAATGTGAGGTAATACACCATCTGTATGAGGTAATGTGAGGTAATACACCATCTGTATGAGGCAATGTGAGGTAATACACCATCTGTATGAGGCAATGTGAGGTAATACACCATCTGTATGAGGCAATGTGAGGTAATACACCATCTGTATGGGGCAGTGTGAGGTAATACACCATCTGTATGAGGCAATGTGAGGTAATACACCATCTGTATGAGGCAGTGTGAGGTAATACACCATCTGTATGAGGAAATGTGAGGTAATACACCATCTGTATGAGGCAATGTGAGGTAATACACCATCTGTATGGGGCAGTGTGAGGTAATACACCATCTGTATGAGGCAATGTGAGGTAGTACACCATCTGTATGAGGCAGTGTGAGGTAATTCACCATCTGTATGAGGCAATGTGAGGTAATACACCATCTGTATGGGGCAGTGGGGGGTAATACACCATCTGTATGATGCCATGTGAGGTAATACACCATCTGTACGAGGCAATGTGAGATAATACACCATCTGTATGAGGCAATGTGAGGTAATACACCATCTGTATGAGGCAGTGTGAGGTAA